CGTTGCAGAATTCGTGTGTCGTGATAGAGGGAGCCGGGCTCTTCCTCGGCGTTTTCAGGTGGGGGTGCTTGCTCTCGTGGGTGGACGTGGCAGGTCTTGGAGGATCTCCCCAGCATGCCTCCTGCATGGGACCTGTGTGAGCCCATCAGTAAAACTCTTCTTATGGTGGGGGAACCCCTTTATTTATTTATTTTTAAAGGAAAATATCATTCTGGCTGGGGGGAAGCCACTTTTCTGTTTAAATTACTCTTCTCAATTAAAAATTTAGATTAAAAATGAAACAACCTCAGTTTATTCAAAATAAACCCAATGAGGTTTTTTTTCTAACTTTCAAACGTTTTGTTTCTTCTTTGCAACAAAGTGCAGGAAAACAATTTTGAGGGTGGTTTGTTTTTTTTTTTTTAATGTCAGGGTGTGTGTACCGAGCAGCAGAGCTGCGGGTCCCTCTGCCCACGAGCATCTTGGAGCTGGAGATCTGGGTGGGAAAGGAAGATCTGGAGATAATCTCACGGTGAGGTTGTCACTGCCGTCAGCGGAAGACCTGCTTTTCAGGGAATTGGCACAAATAACAGAAAGAAAGAGGTGGGGAGAAGGCAATTTCATGAATAAATACATCAAGCAATCTCTCCTTTCCCCAGAGAGTGACTGATAGGCACTGGGGCGTTGAGCCCTACGGCAGGGTTCTTGCAGGGAGCACCCTTCCCAAACCCCCTCTGCTCTCTCCCCCTGCAAGAGCTGCTCGGACTAATAACTGCCATGCGGATGTCCCTGCCATCACTTGCGGCTGGGTTTGGTGTTTTCTTGCCTCCTTTACATGATGCCGGTGGAGACACGGGGGGAGACACGACCCCTCGCTGCTCTTGAAGAGCCGTGAAGCGATTGGGTTTCCTTCTGCTGCTTCTCCTGCATCAACGCCCGGAGCGGGTTTGGGACCGAGTCATCTAGTTTTCCCGCTTCACAGTCAGCAGCTGATGCGAAACCCTGTTCCCGCTCAGAGGTTTTTCTGAGGGAAGGGGGCTGGGTGATATCCTCTCAAAAATGTTAATACCCGCTTCTTGGTGCAGAGATTTCTCAGGTCTGCAAAGCCCTGGCAGGTTCAGGAGTTCACTGGCAAACCTGGTAGTCAGCGAGGTGGCCCTTCGGCGCCACGTGAAACGGCTTCCCAGGCTGCATGCGAAACCCTGTTCCCGCTCAGAGGTTTTTCTGAGGGAAGGGGGCTGGGTGATATCCTCTCAAAAATGTTAATACCCGCTTCTTGGTGCAGAGATTTCTCAGGTCTGCAAAGCCCTGGCAGGTTCAGGAGTTCACTGGCAAACCTGGTAGTCAGCGAGGTGGCCCTTCGGCGCCACGTGAAACGGCTTCCCAGGCTGCGTTCTGGGGGGCCAGGCAGGGAGAGGTTTTATTCCTCACTGCTGGAAGGCTTTTTGTGGCAAAGTAGCCTGCAGGTTCTGGCAGAAGGTTTTTTTTCTTTTTTTCTTGGAAGAAATAGCAGGAAAATGTGCAAGCCTTGCTGCTTTCAGGTGACCAGCTTCTGGCTCCTCACCTTCCTCCTTCCACAGCTGCCAGCGGCAAAAGTG